AGTAGAGACGGGGTTTCACCATGTTGGCCAGGCTGGTCTTGGACTCCTGACCTCAGGTGATCTGCGCACCTCGGCCTCCCAAAGTGCTTGAATTACAGGCGTGAGCCACCATACCCAGTCACGTTCTACTTCTTGATGCTGATATTGTTTATGAGCATATTTACTTTATGAAAATTAATTACATTTAATTTGGGCTTTTTCTCTCTGTATAGAATTCATTTTCTGCTTGCTATCCTGTAAGAATCTCTGGAAGCAGTAATAGTGCACACAAGGAAAGCCTCTATAAAAGATGTAACTGACAGACCTTTATTTCCCATTGTGACTGATGAATATAAAACTGTCTTATATTTGCATAATGCTGTACAATATTTACATACTTTTCAGGACTCCTCAACAGCTGCATGAAGGAGGTCAGGTATTATCTTAGTGACATCTATTCTTCTGGCATAATGATTAATAGTGCCCCTATTTACTCTCAAGTATCCTGATATAATGATGAATCATATGGTTACCACTTTACAGATAAGGATACAAGAGCCCGAGGTTAAATGACTTGCCCAGTATTACTCATTAGTAGGTGTTACACCCAGGACTCAAAGCCAGATTTTGACTACTTCAGGGTACTCAGAAACAGAACTGGACACACTGAATGAAGCCTTTCACTCTGCCCTGATCCTTGGGGCTCTGGATCCCCACACCCCAAACCCCAGCCCTCTGGTCCTGTGCTGAGTGTTACCGTGATGTGAAAGAGGATTGCCTTCCACCCTCCGCACTGTGACTCTGGTTTCACGTCCAGCTCTTAAGACTGTCCCCTGGGTCTCAACCCTGCCTTCTCAACTCCTTGGCTTTCAAGGGCCTAGACTTCTGAGATGACCCACTGTCTGTGCCACTGTGCATTCTTTATTAGTCCCAACCCTCAGCCCAAATGTACACTCGAATATCTGCCACAGTGCAACTTGTAGAATCTTGAGAAATAAAATTTTCCAGTCTCCATAAGGAGATGTGAGGGATCTGATGAACAAGACGTTGTACCTGAGATATAATGCATACTGTAAAATGCATACATCAAAAAATTTTACAGTGCACATGGAAAAGACATTAACAACTATAAACCAAAAGGACAATGTTGGGTGTGGTAATGTGGTAGGTAGAAGAAGTTTTTTTCCTTATATTATTATTTTTGTAATACCACTTTTATAATAAACATAAATCAACTTGAAGCAGTGTTTACAAATGTCATTTCTTACTTGATATGAACAAGTTTACTTTTAAACCTTATCTGAGAGTCTTCTATAAGTGATCTTAAATGTTCTATGAAGACCACAGTATTGCTTGCCTTTTCACTTTTAACTCAATTCCTTTCTCAGAGCAGCATACAATCATTTAAATATAGGCACCTCATCAAAGCAGAAGTTATCTGTATTTGCCTTTCAAAATTATCCTAAACCAGGAGCAGTGGTTCATGCCTATAAAACCAGTGTTCTCGGAGGCTGAGGTGGGAGAATCACTTGAGCCCGGGAGTTCCAGACCAGCCTGGGCAACATAGGGAAACCCTAGTCTCTACCAATATTAATAATAATAATAATAATACTTCTTAAGGGGATTATAGTTGATAGATTATTGTCAGTTTTCTTAAGTTTTTTTTAATTCAAAAGAAGCACCTACTTCAAAATCTTAAATGTGGTACAAAAACGATTTCAAAACTGAAACTCTTTAATGTGTTTTTTTCTTTTTTAATAGCCCCCAACAATGGTAATCAAGACATGTCAGCCTGGTTCAATCTATTTGCAGACCTGGATCCACTTTCAAACCCAGATGCTATTGGACACTCAGATGATGAACTCCTTAATGCTTGACTGAAGTTATAATGTCACTTCAGTGGCCTTGAGACATCAATTTTGCAACACATTTCCTTTGTGGAAAGGAGTTTATATTGTAACCCACACACAAAAGCATGGTGTTTGTGAATATAACACCTGTCAGCCAACTTTAGACAGATGGTAAAGACCACATTTGAATAGGTTAAGTACATCTTTCATATCTTGGATTTGCAACTGTTGGTACTATGTGGAAAATATTAGAAACTTCTATGTGGAAAATATTAGAAAACTATGGAGTCTGCAATATTTAGATACTGAAACTTATGTCAAAATAACGGCTAGGAGTAATTCTGTCAATATGGAGTTGAGCTTATTTCTTTGGAAACCCTTTTAAGTTGCCTTGCTGGCTGTGAGAATTTTATATGTGGATAAAAAAAGATAGCATGTAAATTGGATTGTGGTTTGGGGTCAGTTTTTAAATAAAATAGTAACAAGGAGGATTTTCTGTTTTCGAAAACAGCATTAGAACCAGACCAGCTTTGTTTTGGGTTAGAGAGAGAGAATAAGATTTGAGAGCTTAGTTTGCTTTAATGAAATCACAGAGAAACTTGATACTTGTTTTTCTTCATTTGGAGGCTAAAATGTAATGTTTTTTCATTCATACAAAATAATGGACACTCCCTAATTCCATTATTAAATCTTGAAGGGGAAATAGCAGGATAATTAATTTGCTAAGCCCATTCTCTGTAGAAACAGAAAATCTTCCCATCTCCTAAACCTCAGAATGCACAGTAATACTTAAGGCTTGTACAAGTGTCTTCAGACCCACTTTTTCATACATTTGCGATATGGTATTATGCAGTATTTATATTATTCCTGAAAATAAAATGAGGGGGAGAATATTCCCTAAGCAACTGGCAATAGTATTCCTGATATACCTAGAAATTTCTATCTGAATGAGGAGACACTTATGAACACCTTATCCTTACATATATTTGCATACTTACCCCATATTTTGTGACATAATTTAACCCAGAATACTTTCTGGCAGACATACAGAAAGCTCTGTGTGATCAGTAAGGGAGTGTCTCATTTTTCTACTTCCCTCTTTTTGTGGGTGACATCATCTGAGGCTCTATTTGATTACTAAGCAAAATCTGTTACCCCTACAGGGTTTAGAACCTAAGTATTAGAGAGGAAGGCTATTTAATGGAAGTTAGTGTAAGCTGATAAAAACATAGCTACTGTACATGCACATCAATCACTCAATTTCCTGTCCTTTTTTCTTGCCCACCCTTTAATTCTGAAGCAATTTCCCAAGTGTTTTGCATCCACTCCATTGCATTTCCGTAAGAAGACATTTTGAATAAGTTATTCACAGTAGTTTCCATGTGCTCTTAGTTCTATTCTAAACAGGCTTATTTAGAAGAGGATTGCTTGTAATGTTTGTCATGGTTCATAGAAAACCTTGGACCAGAGTAGGTAAAATGCAGTCCACGTCCCATCCATAGCCATCTATAATAGTAACTGCCCACAAGCTCTCCGGAAAACTACTACAATGGCCAAGTACAGTATAGGCTGGAAAGACCTTATTAGAAACACTGACTCAGAAAAAAGGTATGAAATCTTTCCATAAAATCTTTTCACAATATTACTCCTATTTCTTTAGATTTTAATGAGCCATTACTTATCTCTTCAGAAGCATTTTTTAAGTCTTCCTTTATACTCAGTGAAATTTCTCAGAATGCAATACCGTCATTGTTCTGCCAAGTTCCAATCACCAAGATCATGATTATGAATCCCAATCTGAATTCTGTACCCATGGTGACTCTGGTGCTCTCAACTTTTGAGTGCCTCAAAAAATGCTAAATCTTTGTCCGAGCATGGTGGCTCATGCCTGTAATCCCAGCACTTTGGGAGGCCAATGCAGGTGGAACATTTGAGGTCATGAGTTCGAGACCCAGCCTAGCCAACATGGTGAAACCCTGTCTCTACTAAAATTACAAAAATTAGCCAGGTGTGGTGGTGCATGCCTGTAATCCCAGCTACTTGGGAGAAGAATTGCTTGAACCCAGGAGGCGGAGGTTGCAGTGAGCCGAGATTGCACCACTGCACTCCAGCCTGGGTGACAGAGCGAGACTCCGTCTCAAAAAAAAAAAAAAAGCTAACTTTATGTCTTGAGAGTTTGTACCATTTTTCTTTGTAGTGGTCACCTTGCTAATGCATTAGTTCTGAGATATTTATCTCCCTCACGTGTGTGCAGGGAAGTCCCTGTTATCTGATACAGATACTTTAACAAGCAGACAAAGCAGAAGTCCAAAGCCCATACTAGGAACACCCTAAATTTTCCAAAAGCAAAGGTTCTCCCGAAATGGAGACATACCAGGGACTGTTATTATTCAGTTACTAGTTTCTATAACATTTCTTCTTTCAACAGAGTATATGTTTCCCTTTTAACCCAGAGCAACATTAACTTCCTTAGCAAGTCCAGTTCTAACTTCCAACAAGTCCAACCACTATTTTTGAAGAGCATATCAATAACTTTATTAAGATGAAGGCAACCACATTTGTATTTTCTCAAGATTAGTTATTTGAAGCTCAGCAGTTTTTGTGGTCAGAAAGAAATTTTGCTCTATTAAACCAATATTGCTAATATAAAAAACCACCACACTGAAGAAAGGAGGGAAAGGATGGGAAAGCACAGAACAGAGAATGACTGGTTGCTTTTTGTCTCGATCTAGATAATCCATTCAATAAGAAGTAAATTAATTATCCTTAACCAATGGTAGGCTGAGACCAACCCTCAAAATAGGTATTTTGTTATGTTAAATGGGGAGAAATATCTATACTTTATTTTATACTGGATAAGAATATGTTTAAGTCTAAAGACGAGCTAAACTTTGCCTAGCGTGTCTACAACCATTTTTTAGGAGAGGCAGGAATATCAGGGCATAATAAGATCAGATTGGTGTAATTTTGTATGTTTTTGAAATCCTTCATTAATTGTAGAACCTTGATAGGATTAGAAACAAACTGTATTTCAACAAACAGGTTTCAGTATTTGCACATTGAAAAAGTGTTTTGTATTTCAACTATAAATATTTCGCATATCTGTATAGACCATCTAGAAATGTAGAGGTCTTACAGCATTAGAACGAAGGAAGTTTAAACGTGCTCCGTCTATTTTTCTGAGCCTCTTTTAATAAAGATTGCAAGATGGCATAAAACAAAAGTGTTTCCTGAAGTGTTTAATAAAATTATCGTTTTCCTATTCAAAAACTTGGGTTTTACCTCAAGATCATAGTATTAGGAAAGTACATTGAGTTGATATGGACATGGGAGAATGAAAATAAAACCAGGGCAATTAATATCCTTGTGAGGCCAGGCACGGTGGCTCATGCCTATGTAATCCCAGCACTTTGCGAGGCCAATCCAGGCAGATCACTTGAAGTCAGGAGTTTGAGACCACCCTAGTCAACATGGTGAAACCCTGTCTCTATTAAAAATATAAAAATTAGCCAGGCATGGTGGCAGATGCCTGTAATCCCAGCTACTTGGGAGGCTGAGGCAGGAGAATCGCGTGAACCCGGGAGGCGGAGGTTGCAGTGAGCGGATATCGGGCCATGCAGTCCAGCCTGGGTTACAGAGTGAGACCCTGTCTCAACAAAAAAAAAGAAAATCCTTGTGAGATGAATTCCTTCTGATTTATATCATATAGAAAGGGACCATGTAAGATATAGGAAATAATATAATGTACGTTATTTGTGTAAATAGTTTCAGTAACAAAAACTATCAAATATCAAAAATCTGAGCCTAGACACAAACAATTAAATATAAGCCATAGTATGTAACCTGACTTATTGAAGACAAGAATAAAAAGAACAGAGCCAGAATTATTTTTGTCTTCCATAGCATTGGCAGGGCCCTGCATTTCTCTACCTTAAGCAATGAAGCAGTCCCAGAATTTTGGAATATAGAAATTAGGAAGGAAAAACGAACTTTTAAAATATGAATTCAGTAGAACTGAAAGTAATGCATTTCATGCAACAGTAAAGTGTTTAAACATGGCAAAGAAAACTACGGGACAAGATGAGAAGAAAAATGGTTGGTCAGGATGGGTCACATCCAGAAGACCAACATAAACTATTTTCCATCTTTTTCTGTACTGTTTAAAAGACTACTTAAGAGTTCAAAACAAACTATCCTTGGCATTTAAAGTCAAGACATGATTCCTCACTCAGTGGTGTAAATCAACCACTCATTGGCCAAAGAGTAAATACAAAAAGGAGATGAAGTTCTGACTGGTGTCGTGGGTGAGATTTTACAGTGTATGTTTTTACATTTGTAGTGTAGGTTTTAAACTTCCGGTTTTCTTGCTGCCTCAGCATCTCCACAAACAGGCTGTGAGCACCTGGCCCAGTGTGATATGGGCGGCCCCCCCCCGAAGTTTCCCTTGCTACCTTGCCCATGACCTAGTAACATTTAAACGCACCAGTGAAGTTCTCACTTTTTCTCGTGTGCTTCTCCCTGACCCAAAGGCTCCTGCCCATGTCTTAGGCCTCTCCGCTCCCCACCTGCTTGGCTGAGCCCCCTCCCATGTGACCCCCTCTCAGCATGCAGTGACTGTCTCTCTAGGACCTGTGAGTGTATTACAACATTTTTTTCTGTGTCTCTCCTGTGATATCTCTTGTGGCTAAACCTCACTGACCATAACCTAAAAAAACATGAAAGAAAAAGTTGTTTCTTTTTTCTCATTTTAAAGTAATATCTTCTAGAAGAAAAAAATCAGCCATAGCACTACCATCTAGGAATAACCACTACTAACATATTTTTGGTTATTTTTTTTGTAGTGCCTTCAAGCACACATTTGAATTGTGATCCAGATGATTTTACTGTCCTCTCTCTCTTAAATGGGCATACCAAGTCACAGAGATTTAAAAACCAATTACAGGCCGAGTGCGGTGGCTCACACCTGTAATCCCAGCACTCCAGGAGGCTGAGGCAGGTAGATCACCTGAGGTTGAGAGTTCGAGACCAGCCTGGCCAGCATGTTGCAACCCTGTCTCTACTAAAAATACAAAATACAAAAATTAGCCAGGCGTGGTGGCAGGTGCCTGTAATCTCAGCTACTGGGGAGGCTGAGGCAGGAGAATTGCTTGAACCCAGGAGGTGGAGCTTGCAGTGAGCCGAGATTACCTACCGCACTCCAGCCTGGGCAACAGAGCGAAACTCCGTCTCAAAACAAAACAAAAACAAAAACAAAAAAACCCAACTATGTAAGTCTTTCCCTCAAAAAAGCCAGGTGAATTTAAAAATCCACCAGAAATGTGACTGTAACAGTTTTTGCCTCTCTAAAAGATATGCTCCCCAAATTAAAGAATATTTCTTTTTATTTTTTGCAGCTATAGCAACATTAAAAACCAAAGAGTTTGAGAATGTCTGTCACCAATGTGCTTGATCATTCTTTTGGCCCTCTGAACTACGCTGCCAGCAGCTGTAGCAATGAAGAGGATCACAAAGAACAAGGCAGTGTGGCCCAATGTCACATAATCTGCAGTGACTCCAACATCTTTATTTTATCAGTGTCACTGGTGCAAGCAAAATAGCAGT